TGCAGTAGTAGGTGGAAGAGGTAGAAGCTGCCTGTTCGGCAATTGCGTTTAGGCGAGCAATGACAGTTTCACGCGTGGTGCTGGATGTTAACTTGAAGTACTCGAACGTAGCCTCATTTCCCCCTGGGTGTCGATCACGGCGGCACGATAGATACGCTGTTGAGAGCTGTCTGAAGGGCCCACTGTTTCCTACCGGAGCAGTACTTCGTCTTGGTACGACAGTCGAGAAGCTGACAGTCTTGGGGACAGTGGAGGCGTCCGGGTCAACATCGATGAAGAGCCCATTCGACGAGAACGGAATATATCCGGTGACATTCGGCACCACACCGTTGCTATTGATGGTGATAGTACCGCCCGAGGACAGATCACTGGTAGCTGCAATATCAAATTCATCCTCCATGGGCAAACGAAGGGAAGACGCAGGGATGAAGGGCATCCTGAGATGCAAAGGACTTGAAGGACCGGATTGGGCTTGTTTGTGTTGACGGAGGTACTTGTTATGCAGAAAGTGGATGAGGACACGACTTTTATCGACCAACATGTACATACATACCATGATGAGCCCGCCCTCAATTCAGAATGTAGTCCGAGACCTCAGCATCCAAGATAGAAAGGTATCTCCGTTGGTGATAGCGTTCTTAGCTCTCGGCTCTAGGGTGTGGGATTTTCATATTCCCTGCCGGCAAAGCATCGCAATACGGAGTATCACGTTCTGATGTCACTCCGTTGATGAGATTGGTTGTGTTAATACACCAGATTGCGATGGACGTTCCAACTTAGAAAAGCCTTCATAAGATCAGCGCACAGATTCTAGGGACATAATCCCGCAGGAAGATGTACAACACGCAAGGCAACAGAGGTGAAATGTCCAACCTTCTGAAGTGATCAAAGTCCATCAGCAATGAGGCAACCAGTCATTGCCAACTGCGTAAGCCTATATCGCCGGAATGAAATAGAGGTCTCTGTCAAACCCCGTCCACTCTCTGACATATAATATCTGGATCTTCGTAAGCTGATTCCCAAGTAATTTAGTGGCGGTCGGATTGGTCTGATGGTTAATATTGCAAGGGATCTTATGTACTACAGTAAGTGCCAGAGTCAAAGTCAAAAGAGAATCCCAGACTGCAACGAGCGTATCACTCGGCCGTCCATGACCGATCCCTACCTGTCTCGCATAAAGTAATACGAAGTTGTACTACAAGTGTGGTCTGCCATCTTATGCCTGAAAGTAGTCTTGCGTTTCATAATCTGTCAAAAAGGATTCTCAGGCTATAACGTCGCCCACCGAACAAAGGTTCCCCGGCCTAGAGTGGTATATAAATATATTCTTAGCGTCACACTAGAAAACACCCTTTATATAGGCTATCAAACAAAGAACATTGCCGGAAAGAAAGGCTTCAAAATCATACCAGATCAAGTAGAAGGGGTATTAGCAGGGCAGTGGAATCGGCAGGATGCAATAGATTTGCTGTCTTCTTCCATCCCAGAGGTATAGTATTCACATTTCTCATATCATCCTCACGGTCAGCGAATGGGTATCAAAACTTCGTTAGAGGTGGATGGATTAGGGCCACACCACCCGTACACATCGCAGCGACATTGCTCCACGGGGGGACAGCTGGGTAACGACATCTCTCGTCAGCGTCCAAGTCAAGTCAATCCTTGGGGGTTCAACGGGGGGAATCTCACTGGACGGCATTCATGCCAAAAATAATATGCCAGAGCTTTTCCAACGTCCAGCCTATCCCGTAGCTATCCGTTCGCGTCGTATTGCCGACCCAGTGTAAAAGTCGCTCGTAATCCGACCGTGGCCGCTGGCGAATTCGGTCCCGAGTGACAATAAATTGGCCACAGCATTGATGTCCCACTTGGCTGGGGGCGTCGGATTCGCCAAATAACTCGTAATATATTTGCGGGAAATCCTCGACCAACTGGTGATATTCGAGGTCGGTCTTTTGATTGACCGCAGGGTGAAGCGAGTCCGGGCAACCAGGCACTGCCAGGCATCGTAAATTCACATATCCATATGCCCTTGCCGCTTCAAAGCGCAGATTCAGAAGCACGTTGCTGGTTTTGGGCCCCGCGGCGTCATTATGCCAATGTTCGTCTTTGCCATGGATAAAGATGGTAAAGGGCGATAGGTGGTCATAATGATCCACAATATAGGTCAGGTATGCGGCGGCTTCGTGGCCCTTCAGCGTTCGAGGGTGCAGATAATCCTCCTCGGGGATCTCGTCCGTGGTGTATATATATGGTGTGCAGCCACTGATGATGATGATGATATATTAGCAGACTAAACAATCCCGATCGAACTTGAAGATATCTTACAACTGTTTGCAAAAGGTGGCCATCCATCGAACATTTTCATCTCGGGTCTTTGGTGCGACAAGAGCGACATCATTGCTGCCTCGTATCAGGGGCGTCTTTATTCCATCTACTGCCATGGTTAGATCGCTCTGGAGCTTTTTCTCTCACGACGACTTCTCCCATCTTTCCTACCATTGGGTCCCGTTAGGGTTGGCGTCGGATTTACGGCGGAGATTTCCGGCGACGACCGGATCTGAAAAACTTCGGTTTGATAGAGGAAGAAAAGCGCTGCGAGTAATATGAAGCACGAGAGGAAGAAGGATCTCTGGATCGTTGATTTTCGGGTTTGGTAGAAATATGCCATGCCTGATGGCAGTGAAGATTGCGCTGACATTGTATGAGTGTAGTCTAAGAACCGGGCGTTGATGATGGTTGGGATTTGGGGCGCTTATAATCTCGTACGCAATTGAAGATGAGCCACTGTGTCCTACCTCACTAGTACTCTTTGTTTTGCTAAGGAAATTACTATTATAAATTGACCCAGTCTATGTAACATCAAGCAGGGATCTCATGTCCGTTAGTGGCGCCAACAATCTATTTATGAAAATGAGGGCGATAAGAGCGGTTTAAGACTCTCTCATTAGCCCTCCCTTTGCCCATTTCCCCTTCCCATCACAATCCCTTCTTTATTATCAAGCTTTAATACCGATCGTTGTCTCATTGTTGCTCAGTTGCACGATCATTCTAACTTCGTGAACACGATGTTGCCAAGACCATCCTGGCACTTCTTCTGCGTCTTGGTTCTTTGTGAAGCTCTCGTCCGTGGAGAAGGGACCTGCTACTATCCCGACCGTGTCACAGTTGCCTCGGCAGATGTCCCTTGTTTTTCAGGCGACGCAGGGTCACCGTGTTGTTCGAAAAATGCCATCTGTTTAAGTAACGGCTATTGTATGAGTATTATCCAACCCTTTGGGCTCAGTCGCGGAAGCTGCAGCGATAGTCAATGGAGCTCTGCGTCAGGGTGTAAGGATGTATGTTCGTCGGGTAGGTTCTTCCGTAGAATATCATACGCCAGCGATCTTTTTAACCGAGTCTGCCGCCAGTGACAAATGTGCGGAATGGAGGTTGTTCGCTACCACTCCTCAGATATGACGGGAAAGAAGCCCTCTATTGTGCGAACTCGATTGTGTCGAACGGCACAGATCTTGCCTGCGCCGGGGGTGCTCCTCCGTTCACACTGCCAGATGCCAGCATCATCACCAATAAAGCCATTCTAGCGAACGCATCGTGTCCACTATCCTCTGTTTCCCCGACTGCACCCCCTACACCCGTGAATACCTCTTCACCAACATCCAACCCAGGTGATATCCCGACAGCCAGTCAGGACAACGACCATGAGAACCGCAAGGTGGCGGCGGTCGGTGCTGGGGTCGGGGTGCCTCTCGGTGTACTCTTCGTTTGTAGTCTGGCATGGGCCTTGTTTGAAAGGAATAGACGGCTTTCAATGTTACAGTCTATGTCCAGACAGGCTGTGACCACTCAAGAGCAGTCCGACAGAATACCCATGATGAAGTTCCGGGTGGCTAACCAAAACATCATACCACCCCAAGAGCTAGGAGTGCATTCATGAATCGTGCCCTGGTTGGAAGAGATATATGTTTTCGTTCTTGAAGATAGATGTATTCCGCCATCGCTCAGCGGTACACAGAATGAAATGTATTCAATAAGCCTGGCAGTTCGGGAAGAATTAACGTTTCGTGCCATCATGATGTAACAGTCGGCATCAAGGCCTCGGTTTATTAACCACCACTCCGGGAATAAATGTCGTGGACCGCGGAGATGAACTCAGACCAACTGCTTTCCTAGCGACAGACACCGTGATGGCTGACACCGGACCAGTAAATATTGCTCGGGATGCGCATCGGGTTCTCGACGTCCTTTCAACCGGCGGGATTGCCATCATCCCGGCCAGCGTGGGCTACGGGATTGTGGCAACTGACCCGATCGCCTTAGATCGGATATTCGCCATCAAACAACGTAAACCGCACAAAAAGCACGCCATGATCGGTAGTTACGACTTGCACGACTCCATCCATGTTCTCCCCTCGGAGAACAAACAAATGGTCCGATTCCTGACGGTGGACCTGGACCTCCCTCTGGGGGTCATCGCGCCTGTTCGTTATGATCATCCGATTATTCAGAAGCTCAGCGCGGAAATGCTGTCCAAATGTACGGTAGAGGGAACGATGTCAATGCTCGTCAACGGCGGAAAGTTCCAGGAGGAGCTTTCGCGACTCGCAACACAGGCCGGGCTGCCATTAATGGGTTCGTCGGCGAATATGACCGGAGCGGGGACGAAGTGCGTTGTGGAGGATATTGAGAAGGAGGTTCTTGCGGCGGCGGACATCATCATCGACTACGGTCGACAGCGGTTCAGCAATCCACGCCCGTCGTCTACCATGATCGACTTTCAGCGGATGGAAGTGGTGCGGTTTGGGGCATGCTACGATGTCCTTCAAGATGCGTTTCGCCGGTTCTACGGTTTGACATTGCCCGATGATCCTGGAAGGGAGGCCTTGTTTTCCGGCCATGTGCGTGCGGAAAACAGGATGTACTGAGCAATACATTATTAATTACTGTTTGGAGAAAAACATTTTTTACTTTGAGTAAAAGAAAGTAGACGCAAAAAGAATCGTCAGCGACAGGATTCGAACCTGTGCGGGCGAACCCAATAGATTGACTGTAGAAGTTTGGTGGAACATTCTAGTCTATCGCCTTAACCGCTCGGCCACACTGACTTGTTGTTGACAAAGACCATCTAGTTATTTCTTTGTTTGCCTCTTTGCCTTATCTTATGTCCTTCCAATTCACTAACTTTTCTTACTCTTCGATGTACTGTACTTAATTGTAAGCTGTCATCATCCGAGTCCCCGACTTAGAAGAGAGATATACTTATATCCTATGTCTTGAATGAAGGATCGATAAACCGTTCTTCCGTGTGCCCGGAGATGCCAAAAATATATAACTTCGGACCTGGAGTCCTGGACAACTAAGCAGTACATTTTGCAATTCGTCCAGCATCTACAGTCCTAAGGAACAGTGGCTATGGCCTGAGTTTATTAGAGTGTTCACTGAATGCCGCTGAGGTAATATTTCATTAACTGCAAGCACATTCATCTTGTCTATATTCCCCAAGGCACTATCATAATTAATTGTTTTGCTGTGAATGTAGAATACCTCCAGTGCCACACTGCTCTTCAATGGAATAGTACTATTCACACCATCCACTCTATAGGCAAGTGGCTTGTTTTCACTCTGGATATTCTCCTCCTCCAGTATCTCACCTGTTATAAAGCCGGAGCCTTCTACGGTGTTTACAACTCCCCTTCGAAACCATTTTCATCTATATATAATTCAGAAACAACCAGTAGCAAGTACCCACCATCATCATCGAACCCAGTACTCAGCAATGACCCACGAACGATACAACGAACATCGAACCATAAGAGGCTTGAATCATTCAGTGCTACCACAAGGACCTTTCTATCTGGTAGAACAACCATCAACCAGAATATGCACTATAAGTTGCACGAAGACTCTAGACCCATCCGGATATTGTGGTGAAGTGGCCATATCGTGCTGTCAAGTTGGACACGAGCAATTTCAAAGCTCAGGAATACCGAATCATTGGAGGCATCGAGAACTTGCCATGCTGAAGAAGGAATTCGACGAACATCATAAATCGGTATTCTTTGATATCGGCGAGAAGGTCTTCCTGCGTCTGTATAAAGGGTATAACATTCTGTGACATCAGCAAAGAATATACCCAGTCGGCCGGGCCATATACCGTTCTTGCAAGAATAGGACGTCATGTATATCGGCTCGATTTACCAGCGACCTGCAAAATCTACCCGGTTGTCTCAGTCGCTCAGCTGGAACCAGCCTCTACGAAGAATAATCCTTTTGAAAGGCAGCTACAGCAGCCGCCAACAGTTGACGAGGCGGATGATGAATGGGAGTTAGAAAGGATTATACAAAAGAAAGTTATATAATACAGTCGGGGTCCCTACCATACCGATTACCTTGTAAGATGATAGTATAGATACGGGCTAGATGAGGACAGATAGATCTGTGAACACAATATCCAGGCTCCTGAACTGATAACTTAACAGTTTGAAGAATAATAAAATGATAGTATCTAAAATGAGGGTGTCTGTCTGTTTTATCCCTCCGGATGAACCTACTGAACCATAACTTGAATCTGTTCTTCCTTTAACTATCTCTTGTTCTCGACCTCATTACACACTCTCTATTTCTTATTACATACCGTTATCTATTTCAGACACTCTCAATCAGCTGTACTCTGACCACGTCCTCCATTCCTGTAACCACACTACATTATTTATGTATAGCAATGTTGTCTAAGCAGCATACCAAGACAATGCCATCAGTTGATATGCCGGCACCTGGACCAGTCACAGTACCGGGATCAATAGCAACCGGATTGTATGAAGAGTTATTTATGTGTACAAGGAAGAACTGTATTCTGGATAGGAAGTTAGAAATACAAACTTAATAAGTTTGGTGCCCAGAATCCTTGGGTACGTTTTACGCAGATTATAAAGCGCAGATACAAAAACTGGCCTAAGGATTAAGATATACTTGCTCCTGGGACTGTCATACTTATTGATAGAGTACAAGGGACACAAGCCGTAATCCCTCGCTTCGCTCGGCGGCTTGAAATTTTACACTTAGTAATCGTCAACACAGGTGTTTTTTTATTATTTGTATGGTCTTAATAAATAATATATATAAGTATAATCAGACTAATATATTAATAATATTAATTAAAAATACTGTATATTATTTAATAGAATAATTAACACCAAATTTTACAGGCTATAGTATTAGTTATTACTATATAAAGAATATTTTTTCTATAAAATATAAGAAAATTAAATATTATTTTTTTTAATATTACTAGCTAGTATTTTAATCTTTGTACACTAAAAATATTAATACTAGCTAGCTTTTTTTTTCTATTACTATAATAGCTAGTTTTTTATTTTTTATAATAACTAGCTTTTTATCTTTTAAAATAGTGTAAGGATGCCAAGCTAATACTTGTGGATGCTTACCAAGCATACTATAAAATAAGAATATTTAATTCTTTGTAAGTAATATCTAGAACTTAAGATCTTAGTAATAACTTTTTTTATAATTAAAAGATCTATCTTTATAAATATAAAGCCTTGATTGAATTATATTATTTTAATTATTAAGCTTTTTCTTATAATTTTATTACTTATAATTATAAGATAGTTTAATTAGATATAATATATAAAAAGATCTAATTAATTATTTGTAATATCTTTTTATTAAAAATATTTCTTTATAAAAAAAAATTAATATTAAGATTAATATTATAAGAAAAGTTAATACTTTTTTTTATAAATTATAAAAAAAAGTTAATTTATTATAATAACTTACAAAGCTTTAGATTAATCTAGAACTTATATAAAAATATAATTATAATATTTTTAAAAAATTAGGGATAAAATAGCTAACTATAAAAAAAATAAATATTTATATTTATTTATTATAACGAAGTAAATATTATATTATCTATTATGTATATACTCAGTGACAGTGTTAGCAAACATTTATGGGCCTACTAAGTAATAAGAAGGCTCTGACTGTCTATAGATAACATACTTCATCAAAGTTCTTATATTCTAATTAGTCTAAGATAGAGAGTACTAACCACCTTAAAATATTCTGCTTATATAGTAAATAATTGTAATTATTCTAATTATTGAAATTATTTTTATTTAAATCATTTTCATTCAAATCATTCAAATAATTCTAAATTTCTAATTATTTAAATTATTTCAATCATTTTTAATTAAATTATTCAAATTATTTTTATTCAAATCATTCAAATTATTCTAAATTTTTAATTATTTAAATTATTTTAATTATTTTTAATTAAATAATTTAAATCATTTTCATTCAAATCATTCAAATAATTCTAAATTTCTAATTATTTTAATTATTTAAATTATTTTCATTCAAATTATTCAAATGATTCTAAATTTCTATTTATTTAAATTATTTAAATTATTTTCATTCAAATCATTCAAATGATTGTAAATTTCTAATTATTTAAATTATTTCTATTATTTTTATTCAATTCATTCAAATTATTCAAATAATTCTAAATTTCTAATTATT